TAACAAGCACCATAATTCAATTAATTAATAGCGCAGTATTAAGCTGTTAATTCATTAAATAAATTCTCAGAGTCGCTAAGTAAATGAGATAAGACGTAATTTATTCCCAGTGTCTAAACAAATTGTTTGTTTATAATTAAATCAAGGAAGTTTACACTTTTGTGCATGGCTCACCCTTGTCTGGATACTAATGAGACATAAACAAAAATCTACTTTAATTAGGAGTTCGTAGAATTGCAAGTTCAAGAGCATTTGTAATGCATACGTTATAGTGATAAAAGAGATGGGCATATAGTGTTTTTTTTACATAACACTAGCTTCTACCCGCGATTTCATATGCGCAGTTTTCACCCGTTCCCGTAGGATTTTCAGGATTCTTCTGTCATAAGAACCTCCTCCTTATAATAACAAATACAACAAAAAAAAATTTAGTGACATCGGTGGAGCCATTGATGTCTTGACTGAGGGAAAAAGGGATTCATTTTTATATTCATATATACAGATTTAAGTGACCGACGTTTGACCACTATTTCGCCTGGTGGTAAGCGATGGTGCGATGATGTTGTATTGTAAGTGCCCAGGTTTAAATTTCTTAACTAGGTACTGGATTTTTACCTAAACTCTCTTATTAGCAAGGTGTACGTAATTGTGCCCAGTTTAAGGCAATATTGCATGTGGGACTATACATCATAATTGGTTAAAATGGGTTATGATATTTAGTAAATAAAAAATATTTATTTTATAAACAGACTGCCTCGTTGGCCGAGTGGTCGCAATTGCGACTGCCGAGCAAGGGGTCTCGGGTTCGATTCCCGGGTCGGGCAAAGTATTACTAAGTTTTTTAAAAATTCTCAGTAGTAGCACGGAGTCTGGAACTGTGCCCGGTATATGGCAATAGGCTCACCCCCTATTACATGGGACTCATAACATAAATAGTGAAAAGTGGGTGTTACATTGTACAGTGGCATAATGTGCACCTCTGCCTACCCCTTTGAGGATAAAAGGCGTGATGTTATGTTATGTTATGTTTATTTTATAAACAGGTTTGCTTTAGATATGTTTGTCATATTTTTGTGATAACTACGTAACGCACTAAGAATTTTTCTCATCCTATGAGTCATAGGAATTCCTAGCTATCGAGAGATAGAGATTAGAGAGTCGCTGCAGCACAATTGACTAGTCACAAATGTTGATATTTTTGGCTTTGGTGACAAAATTAGTATTTCGGTGACTTCCATACATTAGTCAGCAAATGTATATTCATACAGATTAAAAATACATGGGACAGAAGGTGTCCTTGAGCTTTTATACTAAAAATAAAGACGTTTTCATCATTTCCAATGTAAGAATAAAATAATTTTCTGAGAAATTATCAAAATTCGTTCTTTTTCATCGAACTCAAACCTAGGTTCTTAAAATGGATACCGAAATGCTACTTGACCCAACCCAATATTGTGAATGATATTTGGAAAATCATCTAATGACTTATCTCGCCTTGAGAAAGGCTCTTGCCTCTTACTGACTGAAACCCAACCAGTTCCTACTTCTGCTTTGAACCAGAGTCCTGGTTACCTGCTAGGTCGCTCGATCTAAGTTACACTCCTAAAGGAGGCCATACACGCTAGGTTATGCATGATGGTTATAACTTTGCATGCAAAACCGACAAGCACAACCGAGTTTTATACCACACATACACGTTAGGTTTTGCATGTACATGGCTTTTTTTTAAGGGACAAGCCCGCCACAACCTCCCAAAACCGCTGCAACTCCTGTAAGCCAGGATCTACAGTAGATACAACCATGAAAACACTGGAACACTGAAGTCCGGCGCGTCCCAGAGACATGAACGACTGTCTTGGTTCCCGCAACGAAATGAATCAGAAGATATTATAAGAGGAGAAGAAAAAAACTATAGTTTCCACTTCCCTCGGTGAATTACTGCAGGAGACAGAGTGAATTAAGCTAGGGCTTGTCTGTCGGTTATGCATGCACGGCTAAAACCATAATGCAAAACCTATCGTGTATGGCCTCCTTAAAATTGTATGCTTTTTCAACAACCAAGCTGACAAGGTTAGCAACATACATGCTTTAACATGTCGTGTATTAGATGTTGCCCGCATCGTAGTCCGCGTAGAATATGATTCCTGTTTTATCCCATGGGAGCATATCATCGGGATCAAAAGTATCCTATCACCAGTCAGCCCATACCCGGCCTGTAGGTATAACAAATTTCATCAAAATCCATTATGTAGTTTCAGTGTGATTGACGGTCAAACATCCAAACAAAGAAACTGTCACATTTATAATATTAGTGTGATACCGTAATACATAATACTATAACCTCACTAAAGTAATTAAATAGAGCATAACATAATATATTATTTCGACACCTGAGTCCGGGACATTAATTAATAGATCCATTGTCTACACTAGCCGTAAATAGACTATTTATAGCCTTTGTGTCTATAAGGGGAGCGGAACTAATTGTTTGTAGTCCTGTCATGGGGGCGGACCCTATCTTTTGTATAACCACGTAGGACGGGGGTCAATAGAGAACTTTCATGTTTACAAGAGTTTTTAAGAAGCAGTTAATTATTTTGATTTGGGACATTTTACTTTAATGTATCTTATTTTGGTCTTGACTATAAATGTCTTTAAAACTATGGAAACTTAATAGTATTTTATGCGACTTGTCACACTTAGGGTCACTGCCGTACGGATCAGATGACAAAATGTAAACATGGCACATGTAAACCGTAAACAGGAAAATAGAACTTCATTGAATTCAATAAGTAAATGTAATTACATAATTACAAAACATGTAATAAACAGTTGATTTAATAAAATCAACAGTTTATTGAATACGCGGTAGGGACGACTAAAATTTGTAAAATATGAAGATAAGTTATTCTTTCAACAAGGTACTCAAATTCTATGAGATTCTAAGATAGCGGGTTTCCTACCTACGACATGTAAAGAAGGGTATTGTAATTGTAACCTGTTGTCTACTGATTTGAGTAAGCTTTGTTTATGAAGGTTGTTAATGAGATATCCTTACTAATATTATAAATCTGAAAGTGAGTTTGTTTGTTTGTTCCACTTTCAAGCCGTAACTACTCAACCGATTGCTTTGAATTTTTGCAGTCGTGAAGTTAGAAATCTGGATTAAATAATAGGGTACTTTTTATCCTGGAAAAATTTGATATTCTCGAGGAAAAACTAAATTATACCAATGTATAGATGGCGCTGTGTGTATTGGTATATGTCACATAGGCTACTTTTTATCCTTTTGTGACGCGAGCGAAGCCGCGTGTAAAAGCTAGTGTTTTATAAATCAACCAGACAAAATTGATTCAGTACTATAGAATTTCAGAGACAGCAAATATAAAACAACTCAAATACATGCCCGTTTTTATCAATCTCTCATTTTAAAGATCCCTGTTATGGCAGGTGGTACTGGCAGTTTAATTATGGTTTTGGAAATGCCGCTTCTTAGGTGCTAGATAGCGGTTTTCGTGAGAACCAACTAGGAACTATACAACTGGACTTACAAGTATACACCTAGACCTTTTAAACTGCGGTACAGGGCATAGTCTTCAGCAGAGTACCGTCAATATCTAGTTTCTAACCAGAAACATCCAGTAAACAAAATCCATTGACAATTTGATTTCGAATGCACAAAAGATCCTGTTGCTATGTACTAAACCTAAATGCTTTGACTTTGACTTCATTCATTTCTGCGGCATTGAGATGAATGAGCGAATTAACGGCACTTCTGATCCACGCAGCGTGACACTGCGCACCGCTCCTACAGGTAATTGTAGTTGTAGTAGACTACATACATTAGCCCAATGATAATTTACGCCAAAACTAGCACACTGTGCCTATTATCATCGGTCGAAGAGAAGACACATATTTATGCTTGCTCTAGGTATGTTTTTTATAGTGAACAAGATGGAAATTTATGTTAGTTATATTGAAATGCAATTACATAACATAACATCACGCCTTTTATCCCCGAAGGGGTAGGCAGAGGTGCACACAGAGGTAACACCCACTTTTCACTATTTATGTTGTGAGTCCCATGTAATAGGGGATGAGCTTATTAAAATGTAATTAAATGCACCAAATATGTACCTAAACCTAGTAGTTAGTAGAAATGTTGACCAAGTAAATGTAATTAATACTTTACGCAACTCTGGAGTACTACCCCGGTTTTTCTGCGGAATAATCACGCTTTCAACTATTAGACCAATCAGGCATTATGAGTTGGTAAAAATAAATTGCTTTATGAATAGGTATATAGGTAGCTACTAAAATAATATTATATTGTGTATGGTGTATGGTGAACGTAAGAAGTTAAATAAGATTTTTTTATAAACTACGTATAATAAACCTTCCCTCTTTTTTTGAAGTCGGTTAATTAATATATCAAAACCTTGTCCTAAGTGTAACAAAGACTTTTCTGAAAACCGCATCAAAATTGGAACAGCCAATCGCGAAATATTCGCGCACAAACATACATACATACATGTCAAATTGAGAAGTTTTATTTTTTGAAATCGGTTAATTTCACTGTGTTCGATAATAACATTGTGTTGATGAAATAAGAACTCTTTCCATATATTATAAATACTATTTTAAAATGATAACTTCGTAGACATGTTGATAAAACTGTACTCATAACAAAGTAATATTGTGAAATTCAATAATTAGATTATATCTTCACAAAATAAAATACCACGTGATTTTTTCCTCATAATATCAAATTAATTCTAATATTGATCATAATGCATGTTGCAGATAGAATGGTAACAGTTTCACTAAATAGTAAGACCTCAATTTAAGTGTAAAATTGTAATTATACTATAAAAACCGAGACCTAATTAAACATCTTAGAAAAAAAAACAGCCACCATGACGACTACCCAATACACCCAAAAAAAAAAAATCATATATTTTTTATTGATTATTATGTAATTATAGAATTACAATACCCACCGTGAAAAGAACACAAATCACAAGTACACTCGCGATCACAATCACTAATCACTGACAGACACACAGTCGCGACGAGCTCCCGAGGGCGACTGAGCGTCACACTCGGGAGACGGTACACGTGACAACAGCGGTGTTATGCACTTTTGAATATAGAACTGTCAATTTTAGACTTGGAAAATTACTTTTTTTTCTTTTTTCTTTGACTTTTTCAATGTGTATTTTTCATTGAGGTGTGGATAAAATTAATTGTTTTTTTCTGTTATTAACTTTTTAGGTAATAGATAGGTATGTAAAACATTTTAATAATACGAAATTAGTTATATTACTTGCAAACACATCATGAAATTGTGTTAATGCTATTAAAAACTATTGTGCCAGCACACGTCAAATATTGAATACCGCATAAACACGAAAAAAAAAACATTAATACTTACTATACAATCTGTGTTAAAAAAATCCTTTCATAAACAATTTTAATACAATTTAAAAATCTAATAAGACTACAAAAGGTACATTTATACAATTTACTTTAATATATAATTTAATGAAACTTCTGTAACCGTCAGTACACTAGTTGTCCTTTATTTAACCATCTGTCAAAAGTGGTCGCGAGTCACAACAGTCGATTGATGCGTGTGTTAGAGTTTATCTCGCATTGTAAACATCATTTACATTTAATTTGTTAGTTAAATGTTATTATTGTCATCAGAAATTAAGTTTGTTAAATATTTAGCCAATTTTGTATTGTCATAATTCTTATTATTCTTTAATGATCGCAAAAGATTGCTGAGCATTTTTTATGGTAATGTGTTGCCAGATGTTCTTAGTCGTTCTCTTCATTACTGAAAGTCGTGTCTAGTCTGGTGCACGCTTTACTTGATGCATAACCCTTCTCGAAGAGCGGCCCTTTCCCCTGCGGTCTTTACAGGTTTTCTATGGGACGGGCCTGCCACAACCACCCAAAACCGCTGCAACTCCTGTAAGCCAGGATTTACAGTAGATACAACCATAAAACACCACAACTGAAGTCCAGACGTCCCAGGGACATGAGTAACTGTCTTGGTTCCCGCATCAAAGTGCATCAGAAGATATTATAAGAGGAGAAGAAAAATAAACGATAGTTTTCATTTCCCTCGGTGAAATACTGTAATTCACTCTGTAGTACACTCTGTAGTACAGAGTGAATTAAGCCTAAAGGCACAAAGAAAAGAGACTGTACAACTGGGTGAATCCCAGTCGCCAAGCACCATGGAAATTTGACTAAAATCTAAGTGGGTCCTATTTGTGAGCTTCCAGTAATAGGTTTGGCAAAAGCGCCTAAACGCACGGAAATTTGTTCTAGATTCCACAAGGTTCGTATAATAAGCTACACCTGACGTGTTACGTTCATACTGCCAGAGATCACACTCCCAGAGTATGTGAAGGGCGGACTGCTCGTATTGCAGCTCCGCTGTCGAACATTTGCATCATGGTGAATCAACAAGTTTAATTGAGTATTTACAGTTTGTGGAACTGTCAGGCCGGTGGGGATTTTTATTGTATCCAACCAACGAGTAGGTGAGCGACCACGAGGTCTTTTCTCGTTAACAAGACCAACAACCACAAGCTTCTCCAGATTGTCAGGGTCTCTGAGCGCTAGATAGAAAGATTTCATTTATATTTTCTAATTTCTGTTATTACTTCGTTATTTGAGTAGTCGTGCGACTGCCGAGAAATGGGTTCGATTCCTACGCCAAGCAAATTATCATTGGGTTATCGCTTTTTTTTTTCAATTTTTAGTATTAACATGGTTTCTGGAATGGTGTCCGTCATATATGCTAAACTCTTGTCATATTATGATATTCAGCTGGTAGGATATTGTAGCTAGGTACCTATAATATGCACCATTGTCTACTAGTTCAAAGATTAAAAGACACGACGCAAAATATGTATGTAATTTCGTTTACGAAAGTTTCTATGAATAATATTTTTTAAGCGGGGAAAATCATTAAATGTCTTCTCCCGCCTGGGTGAGGGAGTGTCAGACTCTTACTGACTAAAAACTACCCCGTTCCTACTCCGGTTCTCCGCGGCTCCGTATCGGCATCAGCCCTATTGCGCCCCATCCGTGGATAAATAGTAGTATAGGATCTAAATTAAGGACCGGGTTTCATTTCTCTTTATTTTATGCGAAATTAATAACATTACCGTGAGAGTATACGTCCGTAGAGGTTTATAATAATTATGTTACACACCTCTCTCCCATTGTTTCAGAGAAAAAGTAATATACCTATTGTAGAGATACCGTATTACTTTTTCTGAGTAACAGTCGGCCTTCCGGGAAAATGGGTATGATATTATGATATAAATAATATCATCATCATAGAGACGTGTGTAAATTAAATTTTCTAACATGAATTTATTTTTATCCTACGACACGCAAAGAGGGGTGTTGTAATTTCAACTTGTTGTTTACTGATTTGAGTGAGCTTTGTTCATAACGGTTGTGGTTGGATATGTTTTATAAATCAATCGGACAAATTGATTCAGCAACATAACATAACATCACGCCTTTTATCCCCGAAGGGGTGCACCTCGCACATTATGCCACTGTACAATGTAACACCCACTTTTCACTATTTATGCTATGAGTCCCATGTAATAGGGGGTGAGCCTATTGCCATATACCGGGCACAATTCCAGACTCCGTACTACTGAGATTTTTTTTAAAACCCAGTAAATCTTTGCACGATCCCGGGAATCGAACCTGCGACCACTCGGCCAACGAGGCAGTTGATTCAGTGCTATAGAAATTCAAAGATAACAAAATAAAACAACTGAATTACATGCCCGTTTTTATCACTCTCTCATTATAACCTGTTGAAATATCTGAAATATCACCCCCAAATTTGTTCATACAAAAGTAGTCTCTATACATTGGAAATAAGGTCTATAATGTAGTTAGTGGAGAGCGGTCACCGGTGACCGCTTGGGGATATACGTACGACCAATACTGAAACGTTACTCAATTTTAAGTCGTGCTTAAATATCGTGCCATCTCTGTCATTTTACAAAGAATTTGTAGAGATAGAACTATACTTAAGCGCGACTTAAAATTGAGTAGCGTATAAGTTATGGCAGGTGGTACTTACTTAACGAAATTATGGTTTTTACGAAGCTAAAGATACGCGAAATATTATCAATATGTACGTAATCGCCAATAGTCTCCTTGCTATTTCGTAATTAAAACCCTACAATTATGAAAATGAACCCAGACAGTCATTCTAAGTTGCATTTACAACCACAGCATCAGAGGAAAATACGAAAAATCCATTAGTTAATGCAACAGTGAGATCCTCTTTTATTTACTCGTTACGTAAACACTTGAATGTAAAAACTGCCACATAAAATAAAATCTTAGACGTTTTTCTCGCGCCAAGGCCGCAAGGCGCCATTTTACCATTTTAGCTGGATTTATTTCGCCGTCACTCAACACCGAATAAATTCTGCTTGACAGACAGACAGACAGACGACGTATTACAGCCATTGTTTTCCCACTTAAATATTGGTTTGATTTGTTAGAAAACAATTTTCCATTTTAGTGTAACGTTGTTTAGTAAATGGTGTTCAGTTAAACGGTGTGATAAGATTGTTCAATGTTCCAACACTATGTATTGTTGGAATGTGATCGCATATCTATAAGATACTAGCTTCTGCCCGCGACTTCGTTCGCACAATCCCGTTTCTCCCATTCCCGTAGGATTTTCAGGACTTTTTTCTGTCATAAGAACCTTCTCCTGACGATAACTAACACAACAAAAAGTCAAATCGGTCTAGCCGTTCTTAAGTTATGGCGGGGCAACGGGAAACGGGTTTCATTTTTATACATATAGATCATTTAAGTTTCGATAGGTAATGGAAATAATTTGTTTCACTAATACTTCAATGTAGGTATTTCATTAACTAGATTTTTTGAATACAGAATAATTTAATTCCTCAAAATACATTTCGAAATCGGAAATATTGTATTATAATAATTACTGTATTATCATTTTACTTCACATTTCAGCCTTGACTATAATTCTAAATTTTGATCTAGGTGGTTGCAGATGGAACAATTGGGTCAGTAAACCTATTTCGTTTACAATGACAATATACAAAATTATGCCTCTTTTGAAAGAGCAATATTACACAAAATATACTACTTATAATCTATTATATCACCCTAACACGAAGTGACTACCAAAGGTAACCTTTTGGGGTTTCCAAAATCCCGATAAATCGTTACACCGAAAAACCGTAAATTGTCGTCCATTAAATACAAAATGATATCTAAACGTTCCTCGATAGCAAGAAGATTTATTTCTGTATAAATACTAAATAAAAGGCGACCCTCGTCATAGGGTGGACATGACGAGTAGAGACGCGGCAACTAATACGAATTTCGTACCTTTTATACAAGTTATAGGGTGTTTGTAGTTTGGGGAACACCTGATTGCGGTTTACGAAATATTTGTTATATTTATGGGGTTTTAGATTTCCCATTATTTGAGATATTGGTTGAAGATCAGAAAGAAGGGAGATAAAATGTCACCATAATGGAAAGCATTAGTTTTAGTTTTCTTTTAAAACGTTGGCCCACACTAGGATTTTCTTCTGTGCCGTAGTAGGTGCGTTTACAAACATACAATTTCACATGGACCCAGACCCGAAACAACAATTTGTAGATCACACAAAGAAGTGCTCCGTGCGGGAATCGCACCCGCTACACGTTCCACGGCAGCCAGTTGCCCAGCCAGCGCGCCAACCGTGCAGTGAATATTGTACCTACCTATCGAATTGCAAAACTTAATGTTTTAAAGTCTATTGAATTCAACGAGCATTCAACGAGCATTATTCAAGTAATGAAATGCAAAGTAACTGTTATCTGCATTCACATTCTTTCAAGTGTGAATAAAAATGAAATTAAATGAAGTAAATAATAATGTTGACTGGTCGCATTTCTCTTCACTCGCATCTCGTCATCTCGGTCGAGGGTCGTAAACTGACAGGCCATCACGAAGTCATTCGCACGAGTATTCCTTTTAATTAAGCTCATTACATAGA